AAAAAACAGAAAAAATCGCTACCTTTTTACAGTCACAGTTTTGCATTGTACCTTTAACGTTCGTTTTTATGGCAGTTTTTTTTTTTTTTTATAATTCCTATGGATTCCATTTGACATGCGGCTTGTCTAATAGCTGTTTGCACGCAAGGAGGATGTTTCCCACATTTGATGATGCGGGATGGCTAAACGGGGTCAAAATCCTGAAGTGCATGGATGACCCGACTCGGAAGTGACTAACGCAAGCGGCCAGCGAAATGGAAGCGTTGTGGGAGAGAGCCAACCTGGGGTGGTGGACAAGGAATTAATCTAATCCATAAATAAGGCGAAGATGAAAAACTCCCGCGACTGGAAAGAACTGCATTATGCGAACTACGCGAAGTCCTCCAGAGCTACAAGGAGGCAGACAACATAGGACGCAGGACTCATTAGCAAGGGAACAGGAGGTTGACCTGACAGTTACAGTCAACCCGTCGGAAGTTGAGCTCGGTACCCATGACTATCAAGGTGCTGCAGATCAATCTTCATCGAAGCAAACTCGCGTCGGTGGAACTTCCCATAGCTATGGAGCAAGGGTCCGCTGACTTAGCTTTGGTCCAGGAGCCGTGGATTGCCTAGAGCAATCACGCTAATCTCATGCCTCATTACTGCTCGGATGACCTGACAGTGGTGATGCTGGAGAACAAAAGGAATCGCCTTCTGGTGGCTTCCTGCTTAATGGCACACAAACAGGCAGAACTCAGGAGCCTGGTAGAAGCCAGCTTTAAAGAAACTTCTCGTGGGTGCAGACGCCAACGCACACCACACCGGGTTGGGGAATCCCGACATAATCGGCAGAGGTGAGTTACTCTTGAACTATATAGACTTTCCACTAATTTACATGTAGCAAACGTAGGGGAGACCTTTGTAGATCACTCCTCGTCAAACGTGATACATGTAATGCTCGTGGCGGGACAGGGTACTATAGTATATAGTATCGTCTTCAGAAATCACTGGAATGCTAATGGAGGAAAGTTCACAAAGACTATCACAACAAGACACGCGACTTGTCTGGGCACGGAATGATCCGCGAAAGACATTGAAAAGTCCCAACAAACACTCTCTCTTTAGGAAGAGAACAAAACCACCTTGGTAGATAATGCACTAATATCAGGGATTTTTTTTAAATCGCCAACAGGAAGAATGATGTTTTAATTAACGAAGAACACAAAATCATGCTCAGGAATTACAATTACAGGGCGTAAAGAATCTCGTGGAGAAACTTCAGCTCCATTATAGCGATGGCCCGGAAACGGTTAGACTGCGAACAGCTTAAGCGCGATGACGGACAGTGGATAGTCTTTAATGCAAACTCACTTCGTTGGATGCACAAAGGTTACCGAGGTCAAGGAGCACCAGGACCTAGCAACTGGAGAAGAACATCTCATATCCTTTGGAAGAATACACTGGGCTATAGGATCCTTTGATGGGAAAGATAACCGGGACTAGATGGAATATTCCCAGCCATGCAACAAGTGACCAAAAAAGAGGTCACCCCAAAGCTCTACTTAATATACAGAGCTTTCCTAAGCACGGGCTACATCCCTATCCAATGGAGGACTTTTGGTATTGTATTTCTGCCAAAAGAAGAATAACAGACCATAAGCCTGACCTGATTCCTATTCAAGACGCTAAGAAAGTTGCTAGACTTATACATTTGCCTGCACACAAGGGAAGTCATTTGGGACAGCGATACATTCGTTAGAAATCAACATTGAGAGAGTCCTGCATAATAAAAAAATACGAACTCGAAGAAATTTTAAAACTTGTAGGCGGTTGCAATCTGATTGGGGCAGCGCTTTTATGGTGAAAGGAGCGCACAGAGGCACGCATCAAGGTATAATCCTAACACTCCTCCTACGAAATCTGGGGGTCAACAACTAAATCTTGAGGTTCAAAAGGAAGGCACCAAGAGATATAAGGTGCCGCTATGGATCTCCCCAAAAATCAGTACAACCAGGCTGACCTTAAAACACAAGTTAAATACCTCGGCACTGTACTAAACATTAAGCTGACATGTAAACCCAATGTACTAGAGTCGATGAAAAAGTCCACTATTGCGCTATACGAGGCAAAAAAGATGCTTAGCAATACTTGGGTTCTCTCGTCCGCTCTGATGCGCTGGGTCTACATTTCTGTGGTGCGTCAGTTACTGCTGTATGTAGTCTTAGTGTGGTGACAAGCCATGGAAAGAAGACATACAACAAACTCTGCATATCAGAGGTGGTGAGGTCAACCCCACAAAAGCACTCCGAACCTGGTTGTTCACATTCGTTAAATTGGTCGAAACAAGAGCAGTATATCTGACTACATTATACCCAGAACTTGCCTGGATGTCCAAACAAGAACCCGACGACTGGAATCGGGACAGGACTATGCTCCAGGCGGAAGTCAGCAGAGCTTGCGCAGAGAATAGACCCTCCATGTGAGACGGTCCATGGAATCGTCAGCGGTCAGTTCCAAAAATGTACCGGCAAGCATCAACACAATGGATATCTTAAGCTTGACAACGTCAATGCGGATCTTTTGGGTTCCCAACTAGGCATTACCGACAATGGAACATCTCATCTTCAGGTGTCCGGCATTAATTTAACCAAGAACAAGGTGCTCCAGTACTGGCATCACTAACAAATGCTTGCAAAAGGAAACCAAATGAGCTATGTACTTGCCTCCGTTAAAAACTCTTTGATCTTCAAGGATTTTGAAACCGCGTTAAATCTTCAGGTGCATACCAATAATCCGGATAACTAAGGGAAGTCATCGAAGTTCTATCTGCAAGTTTAAATAAGCTTCGGCGTACCGAGTTTTTATATAAAATTAAAATTAAATTTTAATTATAATCTCACACGTGTGCGAATATGATTCCCAACTGATTCTAACATTCCTGGCATAAGATACGTACATATGTATGTACCATTACAGACGTAGCAAGTGTATGCTATGGTCAAATACCCCTAAAAGCATAATTTAAATTTTAATTATTTTAATGGTCACTTGCCCTTAAAGTAACTGCATTTTTTTCTTACATCAAGAAAAATTGCCAATGAATTAAGAAAAAATGTCTTTTTTTAATGTTAAATAAGCCTAAGAATCTTTCTAACTTAAAAAAAAAAAAAAAATGTACCATGGCTTCATCAACTCGGCTGTTGCGGAATATGTAATATACATTTCTTATAGGGTCGGAAAATTCTACTTTCCTGCGTTACAAACTTCTGACCCAAGTTATTAGAACATACAAAGGCTTAAAAACTATTCGTCATGACTTATTAATCCGTAAATTAATAATTATTATTTTTTTATTATTATTACTCTTTTTATTATTATTATTTTAATTCTTCATATTATTTTATTCAGAATGGATTTAAGTCTCCAGTTGATTACTGATACCTATGCTCTTTTCTCGCAATTTAATATATATGTACCTCAGGAGGACTATGATAAAGTTGAAGGACTCCAACTTATGTTCAATAAAATGCTGGAAAATGTACGTGTTTTTTTTTTTTTAATATACGATTTATTTATGTGATTTTTTACAGGCCAAAAGGTGTCCGATCGAATATCAGAAATGGAGGAACCTCTTTAAGAGAACTAAATGATGGTATATCTACATTCGTTCACGAGTTTGAAGAATTTAATCGTGATTTTGAGGCAAATGGTCCTATGGTTGAAGGAATTTCGGCCAAGGAAGCAAGTGACCGAGTTTTTTATTTCAAAACAGATTTGATGAGCTTTGGAGAAAATTTGAAATGTATAGTAGTGGTGAAAAGCTTTTTGGCTTGCCAATCACAGACTATCCTTTGCTTCATCAGCGCAAACGAGAGTTTAATTATCTTAACAGGCTATATTCTTTGTATATTCAAGTCTTAAAACTATATCAGACTATTATGAAATGCCTTGGGCCGATGTCAATATTGAAAAATCAGTGCGGAATTGGCAGATTTTCAACTGCGCTGCAGAAAGCTACCCAAAGGTATGCAATCTTGGCCAGCTTTTATAGATCTGAAAACCAAAATAGATGATTTTAATGAAACATGTCCCTTGCTTGAGCTAATGACGAATAAGGCAATGAAAGAGCGACATTGGATTCGTCTTAACGCCCTTTTTAAAACTGATTTTGATCCCTCAAGTCCAAAGTTCACTTTGGGAAAATTACTTGAAGCTCCAATACTCAAGTTCAAAGAAGATGTTGAAGATATCTGCGTTGGTGCTAGTAAGGAATTGGATATTGAAGCCAAGCTGAAGCAAATAATTTCCGATTGGGGATTGGTTAATTTACAATTAGGACAGTTTAAAAATAGAGGAGAGCTTGTCCTTAAAGGAGGCGAAACATTGGAAATAATAGCATCACTAGAAGATAGTTTGATGATCATGAACTCTTTGGCATCAAATAGATATAATGCTCCTTTTAAAAAGAAATACAACTTTGGTTATCAAAGTTAGTGAACACTGGAGAAGTTTTAGAAAAGTGGCTTATGGTGCAAAATCTTTGGATTTATTTGGAAGCCGTTTTTGTCGGCGGGGATATTTCCAAACAGCTACCTATGGAGGCCAAACGCTTTACAAATATTGATAAAAGTTATGTAAAATAATGATGCGTGCCCGAGAAATACCTAATGCAGTTGACTGCTGCACTGGTGATGAAACACTAGCGACAATTTAACTTGGTTACTGGATCAACTAGAGACATGTCAAAAGAGCTTAACGGGATATTTAGAATCAAAACGATTACTTTTCCCTCGGTTTTTCTTTGTTTCTGATCCAGTTTTGTTGGAAATATTAGGTCAAGCTTCGGATCCAGCTTCAATACAGCCTCACCTTTTGAGCATATTTGACGCAATTGCTACTGTAGACTTTCAGGAAAAAACCACTGACATCATAGAATCTATGAATTCAATGAATAAGGAAAAAGTAAGGTTTGAAAATACGGTACAGTGCTTAGGAAGTGTAGAGATTTGGTTAGGTCGTTTGTTAAAAGAATGCAAGATACAATGCGAACCATACTTGCTTCGATGTCTATAAGTTTAAATGACCCTGAGTTTAATTTTGCTGAAGAGTTTCCAAGTTTCTGCGGCCAAGCTGGAGTAGTTGGGGTACAGCTTCTTTGGACCAAAGACGCTGAATATGCTCTACGCAAATGTCGAACTGATAAGACAATAATGAAAAGAACAAACAATAAATTTTTAGTCCTGCTAAACTTTTTTATTGATTTGACTGTAAAGGATTTAACGTCACTTGATCGAATAAGATTCGAGACTATGGTAACCATTCATGTACATCAACGAGATATTTTTGATGATTTGTGTACACAGCGTATTAAATCGGCGGGCGACTTTGAATGGCAAAAACAAGCTCGCTTTTATTATAATGAAGATAATGATGATATTATTGTTGGTATAACAGATGTAAATTTTATATATCAGAATGAGTACCTTGGCGTAACAGAACGATTGGCCATCACTCCACTTACTGATCGGTGTTACATAACACTAGCGCAGGCCGTTGGAATGTGTATGGAGGTGCGCCCGCCGGTCCAGCTGGAACTGGAAAGACTGAAACAACGAAGGATATGGGTCGGGCGTTGGGAAAATTAGTAGTTGTGTTTAACTGCTCCGACCAGATGGATTTTCGTGGCCTGGGACGGATTTACAAGGGTCTTGCACAGTCCGGCTCTTGGGGATGTTTTGATGAATTTAATCGAATTGAGCTACCTGTACTTTCTGTTGCAGCTCAGCAAATATAGTAAGTTTAGGTTTTTTATTTGATATTGAGTTATCATTCAATTACATTTTTGTTTAGTATCGTTTTTACAGCTAGAAAGGAGAAGCGAGCAACTTTTATATTCTTAGATGGAGATGTAGTTTCTCTTAATCCGGAATTTGGCATTTTTATTACTATGAACCCTGGCTACGCTGGTCGCCAAGAATTGCCTGAAAACCTTAAAATAATGTTTCGCACTGTGGCTATGATGGTCCCAGATCGCCAGATAATTATTAGGGTTAAGATGGCCAGCTGTGGCTTTAAGGAAAATGTTGTCTTATCAAGGAAATGTATACCTTGTACAAATTGTGCGAAGAACAGTTGTCTAAGCAAGTTCATTATGATTTTGGTCTTCGTAATATATTATCTGTTCTTCGTACTTTAGGTTCCCAGAAACGATCAAATCCAAATGATACTGAGGAAACAATAGTCATGCGTGTATTACGAGATATGAATGTTTCAAATTAATTGACGAAGACGAAGGACTTTTGTATCATTGGTGGATGACATGTTTCCAGGCATAAAATTGACTACAAATGTTTACAAAGATCTTCAAAAGCCATTGTAAAGACATGCGAAGAAATGGGTTACGTAAATAATCCCGAGTGGAACCTTAAAGTTGTGCAATTATATGAGACATCTCTTGTGCGCCATGGTCTTATGTTAATGGGACCAACTGGATCTGGTAAAACAAGCTGTACCCTTTGTATGCTAAGATGCTTTACAGAGATGGGTAGAACTCATAAAGAAATGAGAATGAACCCAAAAGCCATAACAGCACCACAAATGTTTGGGAGATTGGATGTAGCCACAAATGATTGGACTGATGGAATTTTTTCAACGCTTTGGCGGCGTTCCCTTAAAGTTCCAAAACATCAAAACTGTTGGATTGTTTTGGATGGCCCAGTTGACGCTGTGTGGATCGAGAACTTAAATTCCGTTCTTGATGACAATAAGACTCTCACATTAGCCAACGGCGATCGAATAAAATGGCGGATAACTCAAAGTTGGTATTTGAACCAGATAATGTCGATAATGCATCACCCGCTACAGTTAGTCGAGTCGGTATGGTATTTACTAGTTCATCTGTTTTAAGTTGGAAGGTATATATGGAGGCCTGGTTACTGAAGCAAGGAGAAGATGCTGATGTTTTTAGACGATGTTATGAAGCACTTTATGATGATGCACATGTATTTCTGCAGTCGAGGCTCGCAGCAAAGATGAAAATTCTTGAAGCTATATATATACGTCAAATGCTAGATATTATGGATGGCTTATTAATGGACATATCTTTACGTTCTGAAAAAGCCTTGGAGCGGATATTTTTATTTTCTCTAATGTGGGCGTTAGGGGCTGTTCTTGAACTTGGGGAGCGCGAAAAATTGGAAGAGTATCTTCTGAAGCATGCATCTAAACTACGTAAGTTAAGGGTCAGACCACAAGAATACCAATATTTTTCCAATATTCAATTAAATGAGTTAAAGATTATTTATTATTATTATTATTTTATTAATAAAACAAAATACTTTTTATTGAATTTAGTTGGATTAAGAACTAAATTTGCTTGAGCTTAACAATAATTTATATAGGCTACACGTTGATCCATTGTCACCGTCTCTGCTGCAATCGTTGCTTCTGCTGACGTTCTTTGTTCTTATTGGCTGCTTATGACGAATTGTAGCTATTGGCCGTTTCAAATTACAATTGGCCAATGAATTAGTTTTCCAATTGGCAAATGGCCTGGATAAGCTAAGCCATGTGCGCTGAGCTTGGATCTTTTTTGGCCAGCGACGGTGGGAACGCTTATCCGGAAATTTCCTAAGTTGATAGTAAATTGAACTTCTGGTTGTTCACCCGGTTGCGCCAGATGTACTGAGCTTGCATCTTCCCAGTCAGCGGTTGTGGGAACTAGGTTGTTATCTCATTCCTTGAACGCGGCTGTCCTCGGTCGCAACGTAAAAGAGTACCGGTCCAGGTTGTGTAGGCTTTTCCTGCGTTTACGGAAGGGGGCGGTTGTTCTTTTCGTCTGATTACCAGGAGAATGATGGTAGATCGATAGCTAATGGAAGCTGATATTGTTGCTTTGCTTCTTAGTTTCTCGATCACTTTTGTGTTGTTGATTTTCAGTTATTTGGCAATTCGAAGTGAGAGAGTTGGAAAACTGGAGATTCTGGTTCTGCTTGATTTGTAAGTCACTTCGCCAATAGTAACCGTTGAGAAAAAAGCCATGTAGTTTTAGCTGCTTTCCATCTAGTGATACTGGCCCATTATAATCGTTAAGCAGAATGGTGCCTGGCAGTATCTCCTCAAAATCGGGTATGTGCTGATTGTTAATTATTTTACATTGTGGTTCTCTTAGATTTAGTAATGCACTTACACAAGTATCGGTACTTGAATCTAACCATTTTTCTGAGTTACAAACAGTCTTATCATTGTGGGATTCGCATAGTTCTGTTATTGCAAATAGTTGTTTCTTATACTCTAACAAATGTTCGTGCTTTATATCGTTGATATTTTGGGCTTTCTTTATTGATTTAATTTTTAGTTGTCTGCAGTTGTCTATTGGTTGATTGTTAGTTGATTTGTTTATTAATTAATATATTGATTATTACTTGTCCATTCTAATTGTTCTTTATCTTGCTCTGTAAAATTTCGTAATCGTGATGATCTGGGGTTCTATTATATATCATATATATTGCTTCTATGGCCCTTTTTTGTCTTCCGAGTTTGTAATCTGTGTAAATCAGTATGTAGCTGTCTTAATTCGTAAGAAAAATATGGGTGTAATGGGTGAGATGATATGATTTTATGATTTTCAAATGCCAATATAGCTTTTTTGTCCAAGGTTATAGCGGTTTTGCTTGACTTTGCCTTAGATATATGGCCCTGTTCGCCTCTTAGGAGAATGGTTAAAGGCTTTGCTATTTTTGCAATTTCTTTGATGAAACGCCTGTAATACCCTATCGTGGCCAAAAAGGAACGTAGGTCCTTTAACGTTTTGGATCTGGGAATTTCGTAATTGCTTTTATTTTGTCTATTCTGGAAGTTGATACACTACGGTCAGTACATTCAAGTGGCCCGTATGACACCAGGCACGTGCCCGTTTGGGTTAGGTGTTAGTAGGCGCGATGCATAATATAGGGCAGAATATGAGGAAATTGACACCGGCGTGCTGCCAGGTTGTTTGTTTGCATGTTTACTAAGTGTGTTAGTATTATAGATTTTTATTTGGAAAGGGTACCTACGTTAGAGATTAGTGTGTACAAATCATTATAATTTGGACATAACACTTTAAAAGGTTCATGCAGTTCGAAGGAGGTTTTACAGTGGCGCAACACTAGTGGTATGTAAGATCTAGTATTCTACTTGGTACGTGGAAATTGATCTGACTCAACAAGTCAGCACTTTCCACATCACCATGGATAAGGTTATAAATAAAGTTATTCCTAGCATCGTGCTACGATTGGCTAAGGACAGTAGTATATTTAAATTGGTTTAACACCATTTTCTGATATTCTGTACCCCAAAATGTATACTTAATTTTAAAAAAATTGCATTTTTCTATTTGGACTCTCATGTTTGCATTTTGAAGAATTGAAATACTTTTTCAAAGTTTCGGCCATGTTTTACCTCATCTTTGCTGAAGACTATAATGTCGTCCACGTACATATATGTAGCAGATTTTTCTTATGTGTTCTCTCAATATGTCTTCTAAGCCTCTTTGAAAAATAGATGGGAATTTTTTAAGCCAAATGGAAGTCTTGTAATTTCGTATTTTCCTCCGTTAACTGCAAATGCTGTTTTCTCTATGTTCGTATCTTTTATTGGTATCTAATGGAAATCACTCTTCAGATCTAACACCGAAAAATATTTGTTGTTTCCAAGCTGTGCAGTAATTTCGCCAATTTCGAGAATTGGGTACCGATCTAAGATCTGTTTTTCTTTTCTTTGGACTGACCGGACTTTTTCAATATTAAAGGCCTTATAATGGACCATGGAAGGTTTTTAAAGTATTTAGTAAGCAGAATTTCATCGGTGCATCCGAAAGTTTAGGGAGTCTAAGTATAGCGTTGTGTCTTATTTTAGTATCTCTTCCATCTGAATTGACGGAAAAAACTTTTTCATTGGTTTGGGTTTTGGTACTAATTGGTTTTGCATGTAATCTTGATTTAAACCACGGTAGCGAGGAATGGTTTACTGTAAAAATAGAGCTTTAAACTGTCTGTATATTCTTTTTGATCGGCATTGGCTTGCCATACGTATTCTTTTTGTAGGTCGATTAAGTTGTTTTCCTCTACTAACTGTCCATATTCTTTTCTAAGATAAATGAGGCTTCTTCTGTATCTTGCTGAGCTGCGCTGTCTAAGTCTATGTAAATATGGAAATGCCTTAATATTTTAACATTTTAAACATAATCCTTATATTCCCTACATAATCATTGTTTCTCGGTTGGTTCATATATGTAATTTGTATGACGCGAATGATCAACCTCCATAGGTATTGGTTTCGTTTGTGGTCGTGGGGGAATGTTTGGTGCGCCGTAGGGTGCTATCAGTTTTGCGAAAGTCTGGTTATATTTTCTGGGTTGGCAAAACTGGGTAAGTGGAGTTTTTCCATAGTAGGTGTTATTTGGGAATGATTCGGATAATGTATAAGTGTGGGTGAAAGCTTTTGTTTGTAGGTACCATTACATAAAAGATATAGCCATTTTATATTATCCTAAAATATTGTGTAATATTTTATGAAAATCGGAATACTATATCATAATGCTACCATAGGAACGATCAGACAATTTAAAAAAAAATATATATAACATTTTCAGTTTCCAATAAAATTTTATCATATTCCGAATCGCACGCACACCTTTTACCCAACCGACCTAAGGGCGCAGCCTTATAATAATAATAAGAATAATTTTTTTTTTTTTTTGGGGTTGAGGAGGGGGAATGCCTAACGCATCTTCCCTATTGCCGTCGCAAAAAATGGTATGTGGGGCTCGCACCCACTAAACTCCCCCTCGCATTTGACCGTGTTCCCACCTCGGAACAGCTTTCGCATTACTTCAAGGTGGCGCCAATTCAGCGCAATGCGCTCTCATCTTCTTTCTGCGTCCAGATTACCCAGTTAATTCGTCCAGATCTTGCTTCTTAGATCTGAGAATGTTCTGCACGAATCCTGCGATGTGTTTCCACGTGTCTTCGCTGTCTATCATCTTCGTGACAATATTTTCTGAGTTTCTTGCCCCAACAGCTTGTAGCCATGGCCTGTCTCCTCTTATAGATTTGTTTTCGCGCTTAGGCCAATAGGTAGATTGGTATGGCGCCTGCAATTACTAGTGCAGCAGGGCCGGATACCGTTCGATATGCACTCGCGATTCGTAGAGCCATCGTTCTTTGCATCCCAGTAGAGGTTTTGACCTGCATGTTGTCTCAAGGGTGCCTGCCCAGACCTCATACCCGACAAGCATGATTGCGTGATTTATCTCCATTAAGAGATTCCGCCTTGGTTGTAAGGGGCCGCCAACGTTTGCCATGAGTCTGCTAAGCGCCTTTGTAGTCTCGGTCGCCCGCTTCTTCGTCTCTTGTATGTTTGCATTGAATGTCAATTTTGAGTCCAGTCTAACTCCTAGATACTTTATAACCTTCTGCGTCCTTATTAAATTCTCCCCAGCTCTCATGTCTATTTCTAGAGGGATCCTTTTTCGTGTGAATTCAGCCAGCTTTTTATACGTGTCATTACTTGCGTCAACATACGTTGTGCGTACTCGGTATTTCGAGCTGTAATGACTGCGACTATGTCGTCTGCGTACCCCACAATAGTCGTGCCCTCAGGGATGTCTAGGTGAAAATTTCATCGTAGCTGATGTTTCAAAGCTCCGGTCCAAGTATTGATCCTTGTGCCGCTCCTGAAGTTATCTCTATACATTTCTCTCCTGGTTTTGTTTGGTACAGTAGTCGTCGGTTGTCAAGATAGCTCTGTATTATCCGCATCAGGGATCGTGAGATTTGGAATCGTCTTTTCAAGGCATCAATTATGTTTCCCATTTAACGCTGTTGAATGCGTTTTTAACATCCAGTGTTGCTAGGAGAACTACCGGCCTCGATAAAATAATGATAAAAATAATAATAATAACAAGAAAGGAAGCTAACTTCGGCACACCGAAGTTTATATACACTTGCAGATAGAACTTCGATGACTAGGAATCCATACAATATAAAATATATATATTAATATTAAAAACAATGAAGTAATACCTGCTTTCACTTTATTCACCTATACATATTATATTTTCAGTTTTACATTCACAGACTGATATAAAATGGCTATATCTAAAATTTAATGAAATCTGCTGAAAACTGAAAAAGTTATAAATTTAATTGAATTAATTTCTCGATAGATCTATGG